TGGATTCTGTTGATCTTGAGCAAGGAACCATCCTTGGAGCTTGTATAGGAAAGAAGGAGCGCATTTGGTTGTGACAATCTACAGAGGCAGGCATTATGATACTCTATGAGTGGGAGAGAAATTGAAGTTACAGAGAAGGTGGGCAATGGGGGCACCCAGGCGAGTGGCCCTGATTCCCCCCCACTACCCTGTGCTCCCACTCCCAGGTCTCAGGCACCGTCTTCCTCTTCTGGAGAAGAACTTGTGCTCCAGGAGCAGGACTTTTCTCCCAGGGGGAGTGTTGTGAGGGTGTTCTCATGGATACCAGAGTTCCAGTGCACAGGAGACTCTCTGTCTCTCTGGAAGCACATCCTGCTCACTCTGAACACATGTCCACTCCTGACCTAGGACAGTGCTCTGCCAATGGGAACTCAACGGAAGCTTGAATTGAGTGAATGCGTTAGCCCCAGAAATGAGGCCCACAGTGATGGTATAAGGCTGCAGGAGCTGACACAGACAGGATGATCATAAACATGCACTCATATGGTGGAGCCTGACCTGAGGACAACAGGCAGCTCTATGCCTCATCAGGAATCCATGACAATTCAGCACTCCTGTCACCCTACAACTCACTGCTACCTTGGAAAACTTGCGAAACCCTGTGTGTCAGCTTGGGAGTGTGGTCAGGAGGAAATTAAGTTCAGCAAAAAGAAGACAACAATCACGTAGTGAGGTAAAACCATTTAGTTCCTCAGAGAAGATACAGGACAATCATCACTGTGGTGAAATGACCCGAGAGAACTTACTGTATTTTTTCAGCTCCCTGGCCAGGGCAAAGTTTGTAGCCTCAGCTATGAGAAACTTCTCCTGGAGCTCCCAGCAGTCCTGTTGGCTCTTTGCCAGCTGGGATCGCAATTGCTGGCATTCGAGGTCGTTCAGTTCTGCCACGGATCTGATGCAGGGCTGTGGGATCCTGCCATGCTGATGGTGTGTCACAGCAGGACAACAGGGACTGGGGAGAGGAAACCCAAACACAGGTGAGGGTCAAACAATGACATCCAAGAGTTTCAGGTAGGCTTGAGGGGTGACAATAACATCCAGCTCACTTACTGATGTGAAACACCTGATCCAGCCCGACAACACTGGGAAGTTCTTCACTGGACAAACAAGGATAAAACTGCCAAAGCCTAGATTCAAGGCACTGCCTGTAGCTCAGTCTCTGCTAGGACTGGCTGTTGTGTGGCAGCTAACGGTCTGCCGTTGCCATCGCAGAATTAGAAGGTGGAGCGTGTCACGGAATCTTTGGAACTCTGCCTTCCAGGGGCCTAAGCTAGGTTGAGGCACAGACCCCCACTGGTGGGGACAACCTACCCATCTGCCAGTCTCATAGTTATAGATCCTGCACTGATACCAGACACGTGTCCCCAAATCACCTAAGCATGTATCACTCGTATAGTCATGTATGTGTATGAAAATACCAAGGCAGAAAATGTGTCCCAACAAGCCTTCCTTTCTCAGGGCTGTTAGGAAGTCACCCCACCTGCTGTTTAAAGAGATCTCAAGGCTTTTCTACCTGTTTGAAATGGTGAATTTTAAGCTTCCCTGATAAATGGGTCATTTTATTATCTTAGAAAGGAATTTTGAGAGCTCTTTTAGTTTTCTGGATAGAATTGTTATATTAGATGCAATTTCAAAAAGTTTCTCCCTATGTTGGCCTGTATATTCATCTTCTTATCAATGACTTTGAACAGAAAATTTGAACATATTAATTTGAACATATTTGAACATATGGAAATGAAAATGTTCTTTGTTTAATTATACTTATTTGAGATGTAAGAAGATGTAGAGACATACACACAGAGAAACACAACCAAAACTATGTGTTACATTACTATTTCACTCCCCAAAGCATGCAACAGTCAGGCTTGGCCAGGGTGACACTTGGTGTGCAGAACTCCAATTTGTTCTGCAAATGTATGGGAAGAACCTAATGCTTTTAATAATATTTTATATAATTACTGCAACTAATTTTATAATGATGGCAAACTTATTTTGAGGAATATGGGTGTTACATATTTGAAGTGGTTTTTTAAATTAACTTCTTATTTATATTGTATCTATGGCATAAATGCAATGTTAAGAACATAGTCCTTCTTCCCACCTACCTGCCCTCCCACCTATTCTCCCCCCTTCCTCCTCCAACTCTCCTGTTTAGTCTGAGAAAGAAAAAAAGACAGAGGAACAAGAAAACTAAGAGAACTGTTACTCAGCAGCCTAGCAAAGGGCTGTCCAAGGTTACTGCTTCTCAAAGGGGATTTCACTTTTTGCCCCCTTCTGCTATTCCCTTCCTCTTCCCCTTCTTTCCTTTTAGAAACTTAATTGTCTTCAAAGAAGAACCCACGGATGATACATCTGCTGTGAGCTCTTAGACAGAACTATAACCTATGAGACATAAGAATATCCTCCATTTAATGCACTAAAAGGAAGTGATTCTGGAGAACAGTTCTACTATGAGTCCCTTGATACAGCTTTGAGGACAGAGGGCAGTGCACAGTGGCTCTCACTGTGTCTTTAACAAATCACACTCTTATGTCTGACCTCAGTGCTCACCCAGGGCTTGACATGAGCTGCCTCAGCTACAGAAGCCTTCTGGATCCACCTAGCTCGACAAGGCCATAAGCAAAGAGGAAGCTCTCTCCTCCCCTAGGGAATGTGCATCCTTCTTTAGTACCTTCTTTCCACTTTCAGTTCACCCACAGGCATCCTATATGTAGGGCCTATATGTGAGCATTGCAAAAGCCACTTAACTGCTGAATGAAATGCCAGTCCCAAAAGCTGCACATTTTAAGGTTTCCATTTGAGTGGATGATCAAAACTGTTTTTTTTTTTTTTTTTGAAATTTTAAATTCTGATGTCTAAATAGATGTAGGAGTCTCCACTGTGGCATAGTGGGGTAAGCCACCACTTGAGACACTGGTCTCCTCTATGAGTGCTGGTGGAGTCCCAGCGGCTCCACTTTCAGCTGATCCAGCTCCCTGTTGAGGTGCCAGGGAAAGCAGTGGAACATGGCTTATGTCCTTGGCCCTTGAGCTCTTGTGAGATACCCCAGATGGCATTTTGGGCTCCTGGCTTTGGCCTGGCTCAGCCCTGGTATGTTGTAGGCACTTGGGGAGTGAAACAGAAGATGCAAGGTCTCTCCCTCTCGTGTGTGTGTGTTCCTCTCGCTGTCTGTAACTCCTGCTTTTCAAATAGAATAATACATCTTTTACAAATAATTATTAAAATATTCAAAAATGATATTGTAATGTACATATCCATAGTGTAATGATTCCTCTAGACTAGTAAATAAAATATTCATCATCTCACAGTTAACCTTATGTGCCTGCACATGGTAAGAACCCACAAAATCTACTGTTAGAAAATTCTCAGACTTTCTCATTCTAATGGAGAATAGCATGCTCCACTAATAACTCAGATTCTCATGCTTAACTTCAGAACCCTAGATTTAGTTCTTCTCTATAACTACCACTTTGTACTCTTGGGTCAACATTTCTCTATTCTTCCCACCAGACTGCACCACCTTGAAGACTTCTCTTATATTCTCTGTTTTGACATATTCAACAATTTTCCATTTTTTCTTTCAGACTCCACACATAACAGACTTCATGCAGTGTTATTATTTATATCTCATTTATTTCACTCACCATAATGTCCTCCAATTTCATTCAGTTTCTCACAAATGACAGGAGTTCCTTTATCTTTGAGTTGAACAGCATTCCACATATAAATATATATTTAAGCATCATCATACATCTATCATGTATAATGTATTGTTACACATTATATGTATATAGATATCTATACACAGACATGTTAAGTATGATTCAAAAGCTTCAAGTGATTCCAAGTGTCATGGAAATTCTGTAGTATCCTTTTATTAAAATATACTTTCAAGCCATATATATGGACAGCAAGATTTGCTTACCCAACCTTCTGTTGAGGACATTTAGGCAGTTTGCATCTTGCCTCCTGTGAATAAGGCATCGACTAGGGAATTGCGGTATATATCTGATACGGTTTTTTGTTTCTTCTTTTTTTTTGCACATATACCCATAAGGAGGATGAATGGTCATTTGACAGTTCTAGTTTACATTTCAAAAATACTTCAATAATGTTTTCTATAATGGCCATACCACTCAACTTCTCACACAAATGTAAAAGTGTTTCCTTTTGGTACACCCTTGCCCACATTTATTCTCTCTTGTCTTTGGGAAAGCAGCTGACCATATGGTTCTGAGGGTATTCCCTTCTGTGGTTTGGAATGGTGTTTCCCTGATGAGTACTGATAATGGGCAACTTGTCATAAACCTGGTAGCAATGCATATTCCTTTCATGGAGTAATGTCTACTCAGGTCCTTTGCCAATTTCTCAGATGAATGATTAATATTTTGGCTACTGAGTTCTGTGAGTGCTTTCACACTATAGCACAGAGAAAGCAAAAGCCTTGGAACAATTTACACAGGTGCTTGGCCCATGTGGGGATCGTGGGGATCCTTACTTTGGGGCCGTGTGACTGCACCACTGCCTTTTATTGGATTGTGCAGTGTGTTTGCATGGCGGAATTGAGCATGGGTGGAAAAATGTACCTAGCTGAAGAGGGCAGGAAGGGTGTGCCTTCTCTCTCTCTGCCCTCTTTTTTTTTTTTTTTTTTTTTTTTTGGTGGTGACACTGAAGTTACCAGGATCTCTAGCTTGCATGGAAAGCTTGTGTTCAGCATAAACCTGCTCTGATTCCATCCAGGGATCTCCCTGGCCAGGTGCACAGGTTCACTGTGGAGTCAGTTTCTCTCCTGACCTCAGTCTCATGGAAGGTGGCTCCTTCAGGGCTGGACAGTGGAGTAGGCCTTTCTGAGTATCCCCTGAGGTTTCTGACACAATGTGTCCTTCATCTCACCCACACTTGGTTTCACCCTAACATTACCTTGTCATTCTCTGGGTCATTCTCACGTCCCAGAGAGCTCATCTTCCTTCATCTGCACCTTCAGTTCTGGGTTCTCAGGATGTGGACTCAGTTCTGGATCTGGGAGGAGACACAGGAGGGACTAGGTCAGCTCTCAGCCTCAGTTCCCAGGGCACGTGTGGTTCCCCAGGGACTCAGAGGAACCTAAGCAGCAGGACCTCAGAGAGGAACAATACACACTTTACCTCACTGATGAGGAACCTGGGGTCCATAGAGACTAAGAGGTTGTCTCAGCACCACAGCTGATGGAAGGAGGGCCACCCCATGAGCTTTGACCTCCAGCTTCCCTGTGCCGAGCATGGCTCTTGTCTTCCAAGAATGCATTGTTGGGTTTTGTAGACTTCAGATAAAGCACTGCTATTACTGCTCCTAAAAACAACAACAAAGTATGAGGGTCATTCCTTGGACACAGCTTTTCCCACATTTCTATTGTCCCATTATGTATTCTCTGTCTGTTTTCAATCACTGGGTGATAGAATGGGAGCAGAGAATACATACGGTGAATGAGTATTCAACACGCCTGCCTGTCCTGTGCGGTCCCTTACCTCTGGAATTCTCCCTCAGGTTTTCTCCTCTGCTGCAATGGGGAGAGTGTCAGACCTCATGGAGGTCATTTCTGTATGGAGATCCATGTTCTTCTTTTTGTCTCCTGGAGTCCAGAGAGAGTAGAGATTCATTCTGGACCTCTGTGGACCCAGCTTTTCTGCGAGGCAATGCTGCTAGTTTCAAAGATAAAAAATTAAAAACCACAATGACAACAGAAATCAGGTCAATAAAGATTTTCCTGAGGTGCCTGAGATCGTGAGAACAGCCCCTGGTAGAATGTGGTCAGAGCCAAGCACGGGGCATTGGCAGACTGACTCAGGTAAGGTGTATGTGCAAAACAACCAAGAGAAGGCTGCTAACCCAGGAAGAAGACACACATCAGAGGAGTGTGAGAAGAAAAAGACAAGTACTGGCTCAAATGAAGAAGGAAGTATCACAGGCTGAGACCCCAGAGGCAGGCCCCACATCACAGAGGATTAGTCCCAGCTTGAAACCTATCCCAGGAAGTCCTGTTGGATTTGCCCATCTTAACTTGAAAACTTTTGGATTCATGACTTCCTTGTAGGCTCCATTTTTGCCCTTGCTGAATTAGAGTCACTGTCATTGTCACCCTATGTCCCCTGCAGATGGGGCAGCGAAGCAGTGTGTTTAATGGTCAGAGTAGCACAGATGGAATGGATCACACACAGCATCCACACGTAACAAACACCTCCAACTCACTCACATCCCCTGTCATGACCCAGGGAAATCCCACATTCCTGCTGTGAGGCCTCCACCCTGACAGGGGAAGTGTTGTCCATTCCTATGTGTTCTGGATTAGTAATTCTTTATTAGCTACATAGTGTGGAATTCCAAATCAATGGCCGTATTTATTACTCAACATCAGATGAGCAAATTGGTAAGTGCTATCTAATTCTATACAGATACAAAAAATTAAATACATGTGTGATAAGTTCAACCAGCATGTGAAAGTCCTCTTCAATGAAATTCAAACACATTGAATCTAATGAAGAAAATGAGGCAGACACAAAATAATGGAATTCCCTCATATATTCTATATTTTGGAAGAATAATATATTAAAATATCAAAACTACCCAAAACAATTTAGAGATTCAATGTAGTCTCCATCAAAATACTGATGGACATCCTCACAGAATAAGAAAAAATCTTAAAATTCTTATGAAAACACAAAAGGCTCTGATACTCAAAATATTCTTAGCACAATGAAGCCAAAGATGTGATGGCACCACAGTTCAAAATTAACAGATATGCCACAAGGCTATGAGACCAAAACAGTATGGTACCAACATAGCAATAGACATATAGGACAATGGAAAAAAAGAGACACCCCTAGAAATTCACACACCTACATCCTACACTTACTTTTGACAAAGGTGTGGAAAACATTCCCTGGAGATATGCACATCTATTTTAATGGGACTGGGAAAAATAGATTTTAATTTACAAAAATCAACTCAAAATGGATCATGATCTAAATGTAAGATCTGAAACTATGAAACTAACCAGAATAAAACAGGAGCAAATGCTCTAAGAAATGGGCAGAGTCAACACAGGTTTTGGGCTAAGACCACAAGAACATGGACAATAAAAACCAATTGGAAAAATCTGATGTTATCAATCCAACAAATTTTCTGCACAGGTAGAAATATTTTACCAGTTGGGTAAGTGCACCTGCTGTTGGGACATCCAAAGAACTGAGGAATTTTCCTCCTTGTTATACAGGGACAATCATTTGGCCATTTGGAGAATGTGCTTCCCCCCATGAGTCACTCTGGTGCTAAGATCTGTCATTGATAGTTCAGTTTTGATTCCTGGGTGACCACCAAAAGCAGGACCAAAGAAACAACTGAAAGGATCAAGTAGTGATTGCAGTCAGACACAGAATGAGTTTCTGTGACCACCTCTAGACCATCAGGCACCTATGCCAGAAAGGGTCTTCCTGAGACAGGAGCACTGTCTGCCTTGTGCAGTTCCTATCCCCGAGCCTCTGCAAGTGACTTGGAATAAGGAGTCACTGCCACTATCAAGACACATGACAGAAAACCCACTGGAAAAAGAACATAGGGTACTCACAACCAAAATGATGAAATTTCTAAAAATCAAGTTCTGACCCATCCCGTATCCATAATAACTGTGAATGTCCAAGAGACAACCTTACCCAGTTACGAGATACAGACAGGATGACTGGATGAAAACCAAGACCCAACCACAAGTTGCCTACAAAGAAACACACTAGTAAAGACAGAGACTGAAAGGGAAAGGAATGGGAAAAGATGTCTTCATGCTAATGGATATCAGATGTGAGCAAGAGTACCTATGTTGGATCAGATAAAATAGGTTTGATGATAAAAACTGAACAGAGATGATGGTTGCTATATGGATTATCAAGGGGTTGATCCAACAAGAAGATGTGACAATGGTAAGTGCCATACGAACCCATTGCTTGCAGCACCCCTAATTAATAAAACAAAATTTATTACATCTAAAGGACACATGAATTCTAATGTAGTAATAGTGGGGGACTTCAACACTCACCTTTCTTCGACAGGAAGAGATCACCTGGAAAAAAATTAACAAACATCAGAGAGAAACTACTACAGACCAAATGGCCATAACAGATGAGTACAGATATTTCACTCCACAGCTGCAGAATACACCTTCTTTTCATCTGCACATGGAACATGGATGCTATAATACTAGAAATCAACAATGCAAGAACCCCCAAAGGTATGCAAATACATAAAGGCTGGATAAGAAACCAAGAGGGAAATTTCAAAATTCCATGAGACTAATTAAAATGGAAGCACAACACACTGAATCTACAGGAAATTCTAAAAGTAGTATGCAGAGAAAGGTATGGGATTAAGTTCCTACATCAAATAATTCGAAGGACTCTCAATAACCTAACAAAGTATCTCAAAAATCCTAGTAAACAGGAGCAGACCAATCCCAAGTCAGTGGAAAGAAAGAATAAGGAGAAAGGCAGAAAGAAAGGAAAGAGCGACAGCGAACGAGGGCCTCACACACAAAATCCAGAACACTGCAGGAACCCAACACGCAGTGTCGTCCACCGTGCAAGACTCGTGTGCTCACACTGCTGTGGTCTGATTATCTCAGAACAGAGCAGTCAATCCAATACAGAGAACACAGCCATCCCATTGATTCACAGAACCTTTCCAGGCCTATTGAGTGTAATCTGAGTTGATAAAATCTCACAATAAGAGTTATAAGTGCTGGTTAAAAGTTACAGAAGGTAACAGGGGCTGTCTAGTTTCTGCAAGGGGTATAGAAAAGAACATTCTCATCAGTGGCTGCGAATGTGAATGGGAAAATCTTCTTGCCAGGCAATGGGGCCAGAACAGCACCCATCAGGAATGTACCAGAACTTGATCTTGCAATTCCCTTTACAGGATACACCTGGAGAAGTACTTCACAATTAATAAGGGACATACCAAATATATGTAGATGATGCTCCTTGAGAATTATTAATAATACTAACAATTTAAATCATTGAGAACATTAACTTAGTGAGTACGAATTGGTCCATCACACCATGAACAGTTACCATTGTCTAAGACAAGGAAGAGATTCTGAAAGAGCAGAGGGTGATGGACTGGTAAGAACTAATGTGACTGAGCAGTTACTGTGTGCTAGACACAGACAGGCCTCAATGCTTTGCCCCCTACATCTCATTAAAATGTTTGCCAAGCCATGTAAGAAGTACTCCTACTTGTCCATTTCTTAGTGTCTTCTCTACCATGACTATTATGAAACACCAGTGAAAGAACCTGAAGCAGACACAAACACTAGAAAGACATCCATGTCCACGGATTACAAGAATTAACATGATGAAAATGTCTACTCTATACCAATGCAATTTACAATTCAAGGCAATCCCACACCAAAATAGGAAGCACATTATTCATATGACCTAGAAGAAGCACCTAAGAATTTATGTGGAAAAAGCACAAAAGACACAGGTGTTGTTTTCACCCCCTATTGGAGGAGGGATCCTTCCCACACATCCCTGCAATCCTCATTAATGTGAGCACTGGGGTTCAGGCAGGATTTCTCCACATCTGATTTAAAGTAGAAGGAGATGGGGCCCGGCTGTGGCTTTGTAGGGGAAGCCTCTGTCAGTCGGGCCAGGATCCCGTGTGGGAGCCGGTTCATGTCCCAGCTGCTGCTCTTGCAATTCAGCTCTCTGCTTACCGCTTAGGAGAGCAGTGGAAGATGGCCCTAAGGGCTTGGGCCCCTGGCACCCATGTGGGAGGCCTGGATAAATCCTGGCTTCAGATCAGCCCAGAGGAAGGCATTTGAGCCATTCGGTGGTGAACCAGCAGATGGAAGCACCGTTTTCTGTCTCTCCCTCTCTCTGTAGCTGATAACCCTCAAATCAATAACTAAATAATAAATCACACACACACACACACACACACACACACACAAAACAAGTAGAGAGGAGAAGGATGGAGGAGAACAGGTGCAGAACAAACTGAATGACTCAAACCCAGGGGAGGAGCTGGCTTGGGCCCAGCAACCTTTCAGGGAAGAGATGAGTGAGACTAGTGTGCCCACGGGAAAAGACACTCGCCCTGGTTTCTTCTTCTTTTAATAATTATTATATTTTATTTGAAATGACAGAGTTACAGAGAGAGGTCGAGCCTGAGAGAGAGAGAGAGAGAGGTCTTTGGTTCACTCCCCAAATGACAACAATGGCCAGAGCTGAGCTGATCCGAAGTCAGGAGCCAGGAGCTTCTGCCAAGTCCTCCCACACAGGGTCAGAGGGCCCAAGGACTAGGGCCATCTTGGCTGCTTCCCAGGACACAGCAGAGAGCTGCAGAGCCAGTGGAAGCAGCCCCCATGGAGGTCGGGGCCTACAGGCTAGGGGCTCTAACCTCTGTGCCACCTGGCTGCTGGACCCTGCCCTTCTGTGCACGCCCCTGTCCCCCCCACGCTGCAGCTCCTGGGCTCCTCTCCTTAGTGTGACTGCGCCAGCTCCAGAGCCTCTGAGCC